ACAACGTTTTTTACTGATTTACTATATTGAAGGCACTGTTAAATCTATGACATTCACCCAATTGCTTAGTGTGCCGGTTTTTTTGTTGCTAAAAGTTTCGCCTTTGTTCGGATGAAATAATGTCAAATTGCATTGTGATTTTAACTGATGTTTCAACTATCAGTTTTTTTTTCAAATTTTTCTGAATAATAAAACGTAGCCTTAGATTAAAGAAAGAAAAAAGTTAATTACCTGCAAAGAAAAAAAAATGATAAATGTTAGAAAAATGTCAATTCTGTTAGATATTAGACATTGAAACTACTGATGTAACGGCTATACCTAATAAAAAATGCTTTGATACGCTTAAATACTTTAAAGATTCTGTAAGATGTCGGACACTTCATAACAGCAACGTAAAACCAATAAATAAACTTTTGAACGTCACTGCAGCGTAAGGTTTTATTTGGTAATGTTTATTTCTGTGTGAGTATGCAGAAAACGTATCCGCCAAAGTACTAAACATTTTCTTAACTAAACAAATTTTTTTGAACAAAATTCATACGTAAAAAGATAAAAAAGTATGCTTTTTTTTTAAAATATTTGGTCGGGAAATTGAGTAAGTCAACGAATAAAAGAAGTTATAACAAAAAAAAAAGAAGAGAAATTAAGATTTATAAATTTTTTGATCTTTAAAATTTTAAAATGTTAAATAATTTTCACATTTTTTTTAAACACGTTTTTACACCTAATGTATATATAGCCGGTCAAGTGATTCAAAAACAGTCTAGTTTCCACAAAATAGATCAGTCAAGTACTCATTACTGATACTGTTCTAAAAATTGTGATTTTCTTTTCCTCTGAATTTCCGATACTTATTCTCTGCCCACATCTCTGCATTGTCAAATCAGCTATAAAACTTTAAGAGAATAAATACCAGAAACAGTCTTCTTGCTTTACTAAAGCCAAACTAAAAGCAAGCTGATTCCAAAAAGATATTAAACTTGCACATAACTTTGGCAAAGCACTTATGTGCACCACACAAACCTCCCAGCATAAAACTACTGCTGTAAATCAAACGCAAAAAACAGCTGTCTTTTGTGTGTTTTCATTTGTTTAACGTAAAAAAAGAAAAAAAATTTCCAGAAACATTTTCGTGAAACAGCTTTTAGCAGTAAAATGTCTGCTTATGTCACTCAAAATTTTCTGCTATCGCGATATTCACATTGGCTGAATCAGTTTTAATTCATAGTTCATTTCTCAGCTACCTTTGAACATTTCTCCTCTTTCACAGTTTATTTCGCATGCGTTTTTTTCTGAGAGTTCATGAGGAACTGTTACAAAGTTGAATATTTGTGTAAGATATAAATTATATATATATATATATATATATATATATATATATATGTATTCAATTAAAACCGTTGCTTGCTGCAGTAAAGAAGCTAGCAACAGTTCCACTTTGAAGTTCTTACGTTTTTAT